TTGCTTTAGACTGGTCCAACCATTACTTTTTGGAGTGAGGTCCTTGTCTTGGTACTCAAAGACCAAGCACTATTCTTGCTTCAGGGAAAAAAAGGTTAACTGGCTTAGCATTAAATCATGTCTTTAACAGGAATCATTACAGCAACATCTATTCATTTTACTTCTGGATGATACAGAATCTGACACGAGATGTTCACATTTCTGCATGCTAAGGATCTCAATCCATATCACATCTTTTAATACCTTTACTTCTCAGTAAGACAATTTTCAGAACTGTTCTGTAAAATGTTAGCTTTACAAAGACTGACATCTTCAAGATTAGTTATCATAGAGACAAAGGGATCTAAACTGGGTCTCCTTAGCTTCAACTCAGCATTCAGATGAATACCAATGAAATCAACAGAATGGTAGAAAGAACTAGAGGCCTCTTTGTAACTTTTTGTGCTTTTTTTGAAGCCCTTGGTAACAGCAGTAGAACTTCTTGCCTATTCCTTAACTGTCAGAAGTAGAAACAGTGTATATGTACACCAGTCTGTAAGAAGTAAGTATGGTTTTTAACAGGAGTGTAAACAATCTGGAGCCATAAATCATGGAATCTGAAGAGCCACAATGAATATCACCCACAGGCACCCATAATGGACATGGTTAGTGATTAAATGTGTGATTATATCATGACTCAAATGCTGTGATTTATGTATTTGTATATATTAGGATGTGATTTGAAAGGGTGAGCTTTGCATTTTGATGTTCCCACTCTTAAATCATTGTATCTAAGAACAGATGCCTATGGCACCACCACTTTCAATGGCAACCAACCTTATCTGCTACCAGGGACAGAGCACAGCAATTATGAGCAGGACTGCCAGAATAAAAAGCCTAAGCCTTTCACTACTTCCCACTTCTGTACTCGGTAGAATTAAAATAATCTGCAAGCAGCATTGCCAGTGTCTTCTGAAGATCACCTTGATGATCCAATGAAGGGGTATTAAGTATACTATGAGCCAAAGTCTTTGAGAAATCAAAAGACAGAGCATATTTTGAATTCCCCTCTCAATTCTTTTTTTCATTGACCCTACATCAGAGCCATTCTTTTCTGCTCCCAAATTAATTTTTGGGAGTGATTTAACTACCTCCTTGAATAGAAAAGATCAACTCACCTAATTATTTCAAATACTAAACCATAGTTTGAATGGGGCCTTTCCATCTCTGAGAACTGGTATTATTATTCCAATTCTTCTGGCTAAAAAATGCCCCCAGCATGGGCATAAAGATCAATGATGGCACACATATGTGGAACTCCTAATCTAGCAACTACTACATGTTTGAAACTGAAGTGGTCTTAATACATGTCTTAAAGACCTTTCTTGAAATGCTGGTGTTTAACTGCAGAGTGCATGCTACGTTCAGGGCATGTTTTGATATTAGTTATCTTTAAAGAGTCAGTTTAATGTAACGTAACAAGGCTAAGAGTGAGGATTTGTATATCCTAGTCTTTCCTTAGGTATGGAAACCAGTCGGATGTCTTTGAGTCAGTCGCTCTTTAGCCTTAGAATGGGAAACTGAAAGTACAGGCAAACCACTTCGAAAAACTGCATTGATCTGTATGGATGTATAATCACCAGTAGTTAAGATTGATTCAAAGACCCCTAGCAACAGCATCTTTAATTTACCACATTTGTTTAAGTCTGAAATGAAGTTTCTTAAAAATACATTTATAAAAGGTAGATGATTAAATTGGCCAATTCCTGAATTTCAACTTTTGTTAATAAAAGACAACATGTCCAGTGCCTTAACTGATGGGAGTAGTTACTTAGCAGTTTCTGGAGAACCATTCAGCTTCTCTATATCTGGTTCATACTCTTACTGCAAGAGAAACAAGACATTCTTATTTAAGAAATAAACAAGAAACAAGGAAGTACATACGTTATTTAAAAAAAAATACCTCAGCAAAATTCTGGCAGATTTTTATATAACTCAGGTAGTATGTTCTTAAAGGGATAAGTAATTGGATAATTTTCATTATCTTCCAAGTTTGCTTTGCTGTTCCACCATTTTCATAATTCTGATCAAATATTCTAGAACATGTAATGCTTAATGGCAAAATAAAACATCTTCATAGATTAAGAATGTTTACACATGACTGGCCAGAGCAACTGATTAATAACTTTTACAGCTAGTTATGAAAATGAGATTACAATACTTGTAAAATTAACACTGCATTTCTAATTCTCTAGCCTCTGGACAATTTGCACAACAGGCAATTGAGCCATTCATAATTAACTAGCACATTTCAGTTTCCAGTTTTAATTTTCAGTGGTGCATCTTTCTGAGTCATCCATTAAAACTGTACCATTAAACAGGTACCGAGGTTTTATTTATTTGCATTATTCCCTTCCACCATTAATGGCTTGATAAACTTTATGAAATAATTTTTTGCTACTGCTGCTTTCAAAACATTGAACAAGATCACTATTGCTTTTTGCAACAATTTAAATAAATCATCAACATTAATTTGCTGATATAGTATTTCTAGAAACACAAAGCATATGGATAACTTCTCCCTCTGTATTAGGAATCTGCAACCTTAGATATGCCATATATTTGATATAAGTATGAAGAACCTGTGACTACTTGCTTTCTTAATTACATCCAGAACTTTCCAATTTCTGGCCTACTTTATACAATAATATTATTCAGCTTGGCTTAACTTGAACTCTTAGCCTGACTTTTCACCCTCTGACTTGTATTGATCATTAGTGCAACTGTGGTGCTAACATTTCTATATTCTGGAACAGGATGTGTTTTTCTCAATATTGTTACTACATTGCAGAACCATTACCCTAGTAATATTACTATCTATTGTAACTATTTTTGTCAGACAACCTAAACTTTTTTCATGTCTCTCTATTTATCCCCTCCTAACTGGCAAAGTATTATATATTAGATCTTTATAGAAGCCAAACCAAAAGTTAAAATTTGGATGCAATGAAATTATTTCTTCGCAGGTAAGGAGGTGGAACAACTAACCACAGCATGGATATAAATAAGCCTTTCATTACCTTTAAACATTTGCTTTGGAGAAAATGAACAACTTAAGGCTAAAGATCTATATTTTTTGCAGTTATTCCAGGGACTGAGATCAGCACGATTGCATCTTCCGAAAGCTGCATACAAAGATGAGTTGATAAAAGAAAAATATTTTTCGTCAAATGAGCACAAATTGCCTATCAGAGATCTATGGGGGAGTAGGTGACTGTTATCCTGCTCTAATGAACGCAGTAAGCGAAACCTATTCGGCCAGAGGCATCTTCTAATGAAGTCACCTTTTCTATACCTGCATAGAAAAAGAGATTAAGGCATCGCAAAACTTTGCTTCAGAAGGATTAAATCATGAATCAAAAGATTGTCGGTCCCTGTAAATTGCTCAATGATTTACCTACAGCAGAGTAACCCACCTGGTGGGAACCTAGTACTAAGTTTGATAGTAGAGAACTGGTAGTCCAACTACATAGTATTTCTTTTATAAAAGAGGGCTGTGAAACGGCTTTTGGAAATGTGAGATCCTTTTCGGAGCCGCCTCCCCAGGCATTAAGTCCATCAGAAAAACTAGAATCCAACTGCTCGCAACGTTGAGGAAGACGATGAGGAAAAAAACCCCTGCGTTCTCATTGCAAAATCCTTTTCTCTCCGCAACACCACATCCAATAGGAGGAATCCTTTCCCCAGTCGGAGACCCACCTGATCCGTCGCACTTCAACTCCCATAATTCTCGAGCCAGCCTCGGGTACTATGGGAAATGAAGTTCAACCTTGTTCGAAAGACAGCAGGTTAGGCAAACCGATCTTCAGAGCTGCGCCCTTTTCCATCCAGAGAAACTGGGTTTGTTTTATTCCCTTGCAGACTGCGCCCAGGGGGACTGACATGCTGTTGCAGTACGGACGGGCATTTCCGAGGCTTCCAGGGCAAGGACATCTGCAATTTTTAACGGAATTTCCATTCCAGTCATGTCCGGCAGAATGCCGAGATCCTATACTACTGGATCGCCGGAGGCCAAAGCTCGGCGGATCGCCCACGCAGTCTTTCCGTTGACCCAGCCTGCCCTCGTTGGGCTGCACTCCCATCTCTCGCAACTGGGAAAGCTCGAATCGGATCTAACTGCGGTGCCCTTTCTTCGAGCTTCCAAAATGCGAATTGCTAATTGAGACACCCCCCTTACCCTTCCCACGAGAGTCAAACCGACAAGGAATCCGAGAAGAATTTACGGGCGGAAAAAGAAAAACTAAACGGAGGCCCCAGCTTTCCAGCAGCCTTTTTCTCGCTGTAGCTAGGAAATATAGTCCTGGACAGCGCGGCGTGCAGCAGCTATTTACTTTTTATCTCTGTATCTGCGCTCGACGGCATTTCTCGCCAGCTATTCTATTAAGGGCTCGCTCTTTTTTTAAAAAAATTCCCGAGCTGCCAGTTGACTGAATAGAAATACAGGCGAGCCACCTCAGAGCATGCGCCAAGTTAGATTAACACTTAATTGAGAAAAATGCTCACGATATATAAATTGTAGTGTAAATCTAAATTGGCGCATGCCCTGATGTGGCTCGCCTATATATTCAGTCAACTGGAAATATACTGGTAAAGTTACAAAATTTCCGAGCACCGAATAAAATTCATTACGCAGGTTCGGCTTGCAAACGACGGGAAAATGAAATAGCTCATGTGGTAAAAAGTAAGCAGTGTGAGCCCGCGAATTTACTTTTATTTTTTGGTCGTTGCTCAAATCTAAGGCTTCCTTAGGTTTCCCCTCAGAAAGTCGCGTTCTCTCTAACACACCTTTCCGGAAGTGCGAGCTTATAAAGCGACTCCACCTTTTCTTATCTCCCTCAACAGCCCGGCGAAAAAGCCGCGCGAATTTAGATTTCAGGGCGTGCTGGGAAATCCTCGCCTTTTGGCGCAAGGCACGCCGGGAACTTGGGGCGGACTGGTGGCGACTGTGATGACAACAAGAAGGGCGGGGGCGGGGCCGGAGGCGGCCATTCCCGTCGCGGGGAGTTTGGCAGTTTCCGGAGTTGAGGAAGGCGGTTCGTCTGAAAGGCGGCGGCCGGGCGAAGTTCGAGAGCGGCGGCGGTTGGCTGTGATGTACCACAGCAGCACACAGAGGCGCTACTGGACTTTCCGTAGCGAAGAGGAGTTGGTCCGCAGGCGCTCTGACGCCAACCGCAAGTTCAGATGCAAAGCGGTGGCCAATGGCAAGGTAAGAGTGGGGGGCGGGGGGGAGCAGAAGAGCCAAGGAGCCCCCGAGCGTGCTCTCCGTTGCATTTGCCTTGGGTCTTTTGGATTTGTCAAAATAGTACAGGTAGCCCTCGCTTACCGACGTTAATTGGGGCTGGGAACCCCTATCGCTCCACAACACGATCATAATGCGTGGGTGTTACTGACACGCGAGCACACCGACTTATGAAGGCAGTTGGCAGTCCCGGTGAACGTGAATCCTGCATGGTTGCTGTGTCCACTCGTGCGATTACTACCCTGCGGGCTTCCCCATTGCCTTTGCTTGTTGGAAGCTGGCATCACATATCTGGACATGATACTTTATAATTGGGAGCCAGTTGCTAAACACTGGAATTGTGGCCATGTCACTGAGGATTCAGCAATGCGGCTTTAACTATGAAGAGCTGTTACAAGTACCTTTCATTCAGCACTACTGTAACTTTGAGCGGGTGCTCATTCAATGAGGATAGCCTGTATGTACCAACCCTAATTTATATGCTGGCTGGGGAATTCTGGGAACTGAATTCCACACATCTTAAAAGTTGCCAAGTTTGGAAAACACTGTTATATAGATTCTGTTTTCCTTTAAGAATAAGAGAAACGGATGTTTTAGTCAGTGTGCCATATCCCTGTGAACAGGTGTTGTAAGACTTCTCTTGGTAGGAGTAAGATACCGTATAATATCTGTGCATTATTTTACAATTGCATTGACCACTAAGCGGATAAACATGTATAGTATTTATAGTCTAACTTGCTGATAGAGAATATTGATGCACTGAAATTGATTGGTGCACTCATGTTATCTAGTTTGATAATGAAACATCTGCAAGAAAACAACCAAGTTCAGGGAGCACCAAGGACCTCTCTAACTGTTATATGGTTTCCCAAAGTCCTTCTGTGCAAATATGTAGATTTATACTCTCAATTTCTTTAGCTGCTTGGGGATAATGGAAGTGGTAGACTTGCACATGTGAACAGTACTAGGTTAGTAAAGCTCATGTATAGGATTATGCCTTAAGTCAAGGCTTTCAAACTCCCAGCCTGTGTGCCATATGTGTCACATGCTAGCCATGCCCACACCTGGTTTAACAAAGGGGAAAAAAATCCTGATACGCCATGTACCGATGTGAGTTTGGCACCCCTGCCTTAAGTGGTTCTACTTAATAGCTGTAGTCTGTGTTAGTGAATTGTGATTTCTATTTAAGATACATATTATTCTTTCATAAGGTTCAACAGACAGACTCGTTTCTTCTTGACCAACATGAAGAGCTGATAATTTGTAAATATTATGAAAAAAGATTAGCAGACTTTTGCTCTGTATTTAAGCCAGCAATGCCCAAATCTGTTGTGGTAAGTAGTTGAATTTTTTACACATGTTTTAATATTCCTGTTTAGAGTAACCAATGTCTTGCTGGTGCTTACTTGAAATGCTACTTTAAAGCTGATTTAAAGAAAGCCATTTTTTTAATGCTCATGACATAGTAGTATAAATTAAGCACACATCTGGGTTCATATAATATCCTGTAGTTTAAAAATGGCTATGTTGGATGTAAATAGCTAATTCTCTGTAAGTTTTAATCATCCTTTTCTTCATTTTTCAAAATTTAATGTGGATTTCAATGTTTTCTTTTCCATATGCAGAAATATTTTATTTTGTACATTAGCATCAGTTAATAGTTTTGTACATTGGTATTAATAATGCTGATTTGAAATGTTGAAAAGATACGCAGAACAGTTTCCCTTCCAAGTAATTAGTACTGCCTTAAGGTTAGTTCTCTGTGATTGATGGCTTCATTTCCATTTAGACCCTGGTCCACCTTATTTTGTTAAGTGGGAAGAGAAAGAAAATATACATCAAATGTCAGAGCAGCAGTTAGATCAGTTTATAATATTGTAATATTTGTAATCGATTTGTAATAGTTTGACAAACAGCTTCTGCAAGAGTTATGCAGCAGACATGCAGCAGAATGCACTGAAGATCAAAACACTGTCAGGAAAGCTAATTATCTTGCCATACTGCTAAATTCTGCTATAGGAGACCACATCTCAGATCAACCAAACAAATCCCATAATTCTGGAAAAACTACAGTTATGAAGAATATAAGCTTATCTGATATCATAGGCATGAAGACTTATATTCGTGAAGTGTACCATTTTTGACTTGGAGAAGAGCAGAATTACTGATCTAGTGTGCTGTTGAAACTTGCACCAGAGTTTCATTTTTAATTTTTTCCTAGCTATAAAACAAAGCATTTTCTCTTAGAATACTGGAATCAGCTCTTCTGTAAAAATATCTACAGATCTCTCACATCCTGGTCATAAATTGCTTCAACTTCTACCCTCAAAACGACATTATAGGGCATTGTACACCAGAACAACTAGACACAAGGACAGTTTTTCCTGAATGCCATCACTCTGCTAAACAACTAATTCCCACAACACTGTCAAATTATTTACTAAGATTGTATTACTATTGCTTTTCTCATCCTTTCTAGTACCTATCTCTTCCCACTTATGATTATAACTGTGTTGCTTGTATCTTTACAATTTATATTTTATTTGTATGATTTGATTTCTTATTAGTAACCTATGACTAAGTGTTGTATGTTTTGATTCTTCAATGTATTTTTTCTTTATGTACACTGAGACCATATGAACCGAAGACTAATTCCTTGTGGGTTCAATCACACTTGGCCAATAAAGAATTCTACTCTGTTTAGAAGGGAATTCTAGTATTGGTTTTTCTGCACTCTGCTCTTTAATAGAAAAATGTTTTAGTATTTCCAAGTAGATTGGAGCAAACATTCTATTTTATTCTCCCGGGCCAATTTATACGTAAAATAGATGCACTTTTCATTGATAAGGTGATAAGCTATTTCAGGGCTGCATCCTTTGTTTCATAAATTCCCTTTCTGACTCTATTGATTTGATTTTTTTCTGAATAGATGTGTGTAGAACTGAGCAGTATGTTATTTAGTTTTACATTGGCATTTTAAAATGTGTCTTGTATTTATTATGTTTATAACAAGCAATTTGAATGAACTTTCCAACTTTTTTGTACTTTTAGGGTACAGCCTGCATGTATTTCAAACGTTTTTATCTCAATAACTCAGTAATGGAATATCATCCCCGTATAATTATGTGAGTAACTCTTAACCACTTATGCTTTGATATCAGTTAAAATTAATGTTTATATATTTTCGAAAGTTTAACAGACAAGGAATATGTAGGGCTCATATTCATATTCCAAAGTGAAAACTACCTTTTTCTCAGGAAAATGTTTTTGGTCTTGAAATTAATTATATTGTCTCAAGTACATATACTTTCATTACAGTAACATGTTTGTGTTTTGCTTTTAAGGTTAACGTGTGCATTCTTGGCTTGTAAAGTAGATGAATTTAATGTATCTAGTACACAATTTGTTAGTAACCTCCAAGACAGCCCAGCAGGACAGGAGAAAACATTGGAACAGATCTTGGAATATGAATTACTTCTTATTCAGCAGCTGAACTTCCACCTTATAGTACATAACCCATACAGACCATTTGAAGGGCTATTGATTGATTTGAAGGTATCTTTTTTTCTTACCAAGTTAAACATTGATCGCAATAACTTTATTAAATGTTGTTATATGAATAATACAGAGATAGTTAAACTTTTACAGTGATAATTACTGAGTATCTCTTTTTAAGCTAATATATTTTAAAAATGAATGGCAGACTATGAACATAGATATCAATGTTAATTTTATAACCCCATCTTTAATACCTTAGATTTTCTTTGCATATATTTCAAAACCCTTTCTTCAGTTTTTTGAAAATTGTAATAAAATATTGCTTTTAAAACTGAGTGCCAACATGATGGTTGGAAATGTTGAATTGTTTGTGCAGATGTTCATATATGTTTGACAGGATTCTTAATTTCTTTGTAAATAAGGATATTACCTATATAATACTTATGAACATCAAAGTTATGAGCAATGATATAGAAAAATGTAGGTGTTTTTTTGCTACCCTTAAATATCAGTAAAGATAAATCTTGGTAAAGGGTTGGATGTAATCAGCTTAAAAAATCTATGGGTTTATTTTATTTTGAAGAACAAGGTACTGTAGAAGACTTTTTGGTTTGATTTTGTAAGCTCCAAGTTTTGATCACTATCAAATCAATTCATGAAAACTTTGGTATTATATACGATTATTCTGAAGTGGGTGAAAAAGACCACAGAATAAATAAGCTTTTTAGTTTAGTTTAGTTTGTTTTATATTATTGCTTGAAAATGGGGAAATCCTTTTAGTACGTGCCTTTCATTTGAAGGTACTTGTCTTGGATATCGGCTTGGAGGAAATTATAACAACAAATTATTCCAAAGTATTATTGTCTGTTACTTATTTTCTAGACCCGTTATCAATTGCTTGAGAATCCTGAGATATTGAGGAAGACAGCAGATGATTTTCTTAATCGAATATCATTGACAGATGCCTGCCTTCTATTTACACCTTCTCAGATAGCTCTCACTGCTATGGTATCGAGTGCATCCAGGGCAGGATTTAATATGGAAAGGTAGGCAGTTTCTGAATATTTAAGCAATCACATAAGTATCCTCTGTTTCTGTAGGAAAAATATAGGCTATAAAAAAGGCAAGAATAATAATAACTGCTGGAACAACAATTCAGTCAGACATATACCCCAAATTCCAGGTTTTGATTTGATTACTTGAGCAACTTTATATGAGTTTGGCAGCAGTAAATCATTAATTCTAGTGAGTGTAGAATTTTTCTGCGGAATAATCACTTTTACAACTTTTAAAAATGCTTTAGCCTGTCAAAATAGGTGAGTATGTGTGTGTGTATGTATGTATGTATGTATGTATGTATGTATGTATGTATGTCTGCTATTTGTGTCTGAATGTTATTCTACCTCCCATTTGAATTATTGCAATGTGCTAGATGGGGCTGCCCTTGAGGAACACCCTAAAGCTTCAACTGTTCCAGAATATGACTGTGCTCAGGATGGGTACTCCTAGCTTTACCCATATAGTACCTCTGTTGTGGCAGCTACACTGGCTTCCACTTTCCTCCTGGGTGCAATTTAAGGTGCTGCTTTTCACCTTTAAATCCCTGTATGGCACTTGCCCAAGTTATCTGCAGGGCTGCCTTTCTCTAATAAGACCAGGGAAAGGGAAACATGCTACCAGGTTATACAGGGTGGGTATGCTTTTAGTCCCTTCTCTTAACATTGACACATTAAGTGAGCTAGGAAGAGTGCCTTTTCTGTGGCAGCCCCTGCCCCATGGAAACCTCTTCTGCCTGAAATTTGGCAGGACTCTACCTTCCTAACCTTCTGTGAAGCCCAAGTGCTAGGATAAGATGTGGTGACTGCATATCTGAAGCTTGACTTGGTGCCAGGATTTTATTTTTGATGCATTTGGTTTTAATATTTTTAATATGGTTTCTTGATTGGCAGCCACCCAGAGTTTGGTATAAAACAGCTATATAAATGTTTTAAACAAAGAGGGAAAAACTTGTGGAAATACAAGAAATTAATTCTAATACAAATTACTTAATTTTTTTTAAATTGCTTTCATGCACATAAATTGTATTTTAAATACTTAAAATATCTGGCATTGCCTATCGTGAAAGGTTAGGACTCATTCTTTTTATGATATATAATTTAATTCTCTTTGGCTGTTTGTTAATTTTCTGAAATTTTTAATAGTTACTTGTCAGGAACCCTAATGTTCAAAGATAACAAAGCATCCCTTTCGCAGTTGCTGGATGGAATGAAATGTGAGTATTGATGTTGACAAACATTACCTACATTTTTATTTAAAAAATCCTTGATGCTTCAGAAAGGAAAAGGTGAAGAATTTGATATGTTTTATGAGTTGTAAAAGTTTATTTTTGATATTTCTTACTGAATAAAAGGACCCATTATTTTAGAACAAAAAGAGCTGCAATCTTGTCTGTTTCCATCTTTCTTACTCCCTCTTTCTTACATAAAAGAGGACCTGACCTGGGGTGCTCACATTGCAGCACTGGTCAAAAGAGATTATACTACCTGATACTTCTCAGGAAACAACTGAATAAAAAATTGCTAGTGACCTTCTACCACTGCACTATAGAGAGCATTTTAACTTATTGAACCTCTGTATGGTTTGCCAATTGCACAGTGGCAGATAGGAAAGCACTCCAGAGGATTAACGTCATTGCCCAGAGGATCATTGGTTGCCCTTTCCCCTCTTTGGAAGAGCTTTATAGCTCTCGCTGCTTTAAGAAAGTTCAAAACATTCTCAAAGATCCATCTCATCTTTGACACCCTGTTTTTGAACTATTACCATCTGGCAGATGGTACAGGACAATAAAAACAAGGACAAATAGGCTGAAAAACAGCTTCTATCCCAGGGCAGTAACTATATTGAATTCTACTGTATAGTGTCATACTAATGTAGTATCAGGGGTTTTCAATTCAGTTGTATAGAATGTGAAGGACATATGTTTTTGCTTTATTTTTATAGTTTTCTTATGTATGATGTACACTGAAGATGGCATTTAATTTTGTTGTATGAGGTGCAATGACAAGTAAACTATTCAGACTATACTCCCTGTGTCAGCATGTAGGATAGAAAAGTTGAAGTCTTGCAAAATATCCTGTTATCAATAAAGAAGAATATTTGTAGCTCAGGGTTGAAATGAGGGGTTCTTGGTTCTCTCTGACCTTGATTGTTTTCTTGCAGATGTTTCATTACCCAAACTAGGTATCAGTGCTAGTCACTGATGATGATAGTGTAACACTGATAATGTTACCTAGTTTGTGTAATGAAATTTCTTCAAGAAAACAGCCATGCTCAGAGAGCACCAACAACCCCTCATATCCTGTTATATAAAATATTTGTAGCTGTATGGATTTCTGTAATATTAACTATGGCACAGTCTCATTAACAGGTTTGTTTTATCTGTTTTGATACTGAGTTTTATGTTGCCTGATTCCAGAGTGTCCAGGAGATACTAAAATGTCAACAACTATACTAATGTTTTTCTTTAGGACTTACTAGATTCTGTTTTGGTTGATTTATACAGTATTTTGAAGCATTGATGTATAAACATACCTAGGTCTCTAACATTTTCTCTGCGACTGTATTGCTAACTATATGATTAGACTCCAGAAAACTAAAAACAATGAAATAACAATTTTAGTGTAACTAACTGTATATTTGACATTGATAAAAATAAATGATGTATATCAATTAAAATAGAGTACAGTAGTTAGTATAGTAGTTAGAGTGCAGTATTGCAGGCTAATTCTTTTGATTGCCAACAGTTTGATCCTGACTGGCTCAATATTGACCCAATCTTCCATCCTTCCGAGGTTGGTAAAATGGGGACCCAGATTGTTGTGGGTAATATGCCGACATTGTAAACTGCTTAGAGAGGGCTGTGAGCCACTATGAAGCAGTATACAAGTCTTAAGTGCTATTGCTAAATTTGGTATAAGACTGAAAATTTTATACGATCTGAAGAGAAACCAGAGTAACTATGAAACTATAGCTCATGTTTTGCTATACTGCACCATCTATAAAGACTCATAGATTCAATTTATAGCATCTTACCTAATAAAACATCTGAGAAATACTGATCTTTTTTACATGTAACTACTGTTAATCAGATGGGTATGAAGTAATTTCTCTGAAGGTCACCAAAGTCTGCTAAGCTGTATGTAAAATTAGGCAAACTTTAACAACCTACTGTTAATCCACTACCAATCACAATATATTACTTTGCTTGTCTTTATTTTTTTGCTATTATTGTTTTAATGCTTTTATTTGCTGGTCTATGACCATAATAAAGATTGATTGGCAAAAGAGCAGGACATTTAAACCAAGGATGTGTAAAAGAAACTGAAACATTTCTTAGCAATGAAACATTTGTTTTTAATCTGAAAGAAACCATGATCAGTAACTGCTCTGTATTGCATCTTATTGAGATCTCAACCTAAACGGACATGTATTAGGGGAAAGGAAGGCAATTTTTGAAATATCACTATTATCTTTCTTTCCTTGCAAGAGGCATTGGCCATATGTCACAACAGACAGGGGCAACCTTTTGCTACCCATGGATTTATATTAAATCTGGTGGTGGGGCATATCATTCAAGAATAGGACTAGGTTTGGAGAGCAGTCTGCAAAGTTTTTTTTCTTTTTACTGGAATTGTTACTCACCTCAAGATGGCAAGAAGCTTAATTTGTTTTGAACAATAAGGGGCAGAATGAGTGTCACTCAAAGAGGCTATCGGGAACCAGTCTAATCCATCCTGTGCCAGAGAGAAAGGTATTTTTTTCTCAGCTAACAACTTTGCCATCTATATTATACTAAAATGAAAAAGGCGCTTCAAATTATGCATGGATGCATATGTAGCATGCCAGCAGTGTGTGTCTCTATGGGAATTAGTATAGTATTAGCAGCTGTAAAATCTAGGGAAATAATGGAGCTATCTTAAAGTCCTGTGGACAAATATTTTGAGAATGCATTGAATTCTCCAAAACATCTTGTTTCTGTTTGAATCTAGTATGCTGCAGAGACCTATGCTTGGGATTGAGCAATATTGAAAGCAACATTATATCATGAGCCATTGTTATCTTCATTTTCTTCATTGATTATAAGGCTAGTTGGCTAAATATGCTATGATTTGAAGAAATGAGATAAAAAGAATTTTGATAGCACTTTTCAGATATTGAAGTGTTGCTTGAGAAGAGAATCAGGACTAGCTCTCCATCATCCTAAAATGTGGCACTTTAAATAATAGCCATAAGAAGGCAAGTTCCAAGTGTTTCTTTTAAAAATAGTTTTAATACTTTTGAACATTTAAATAATAGAAACAATTACTTAGGCACAAGGTGGCCTTCCTTGCATATATTCAGATAAAGTCTGTGCTGAGAAAAGAATTGATTCACCTTCCCTAATCTGATATCCTCCAACATATATCTTGGAATTAGTTGACATCTGAAGCATTTCCATTCGAATAAGATTACAATAACCTAAAGTCCCTCAGATTTAGCTTCATTTGGCTCATATAAAGTCTGCCTACAGCTATTTTGTCATAATATTTCCCTCCCCCCAACCCGGTCGTTGCCTTTTGATCAGTTTTGTAGAAGAAAATAGGCTAAATACAAAATTATTTAGAATGCAAACTGTTTTGTGACTGATAGGATTTTCAACCAACACATTCGTTTTCTTAGAATTTCCTGATCTGTTTTTGGCTTTGGTAAGTAACGTAATAGTTCATTTTTTATATTATTTTGATAAGTGTTTATTGCATTTGTATAGGCATGAAAAATCTAGTAAAAAAATACGAGCTACCACATCCTGAAGAAGTTGCTGTTTTAAAACAGAAGCTAGAAAAATGTCATAGTCCAGAAGTTGCTCTTAATTCAAATACGTAAGTAATAGTTTAAAGCTTTGTTAAATTCCTTCTGTTCTAATCGCCTAATTTCTGGCTAGGGTTGTCTCTATTGATGCTATTGAAGGTGTTTGTTAGTATTTATTCCTCAGTTGGGGCTTAAATGTATAATACGATGAAAGTGGTTTCATGGATTATAATGTTGCTTAGCAAAAACTTTTAATGCAGCAAGGTTGAAGAGGGATAGTTTTATGTTATACAATAAACATGGATAAAGAGAAGATGAAGGATATTATATAAAAACATTATTTAGCCTCATTTAACAACATTAGAACTTATGGAGTTGTTTAATGCCACATTCCTGTACTAGGCATTATTTATCTAAATAGAAAAAGTTTACTTTCAAGGGACACTTTTGGATTAAATTTAGGTAATATTTATTCTGCTGTGGGTTATATACTCTCAAGTTTTTTGGAGGTTGCATGATGGAGAAAATGAAATAAACAGTAGATGGGGCAAGAGATAGAAATAGTGAGGATGCTCATCCTCATACTCCCGTTCCCCCCCCCCTTTTTTTTGCTAAGTTGGATACCAAAAGCCTAAGATGATCTGTTACTGAAGGCTTCATAAATGTAGTAGAAAGAAATTGCAAAATAATATTCCTATTAATCTGAAGGTTGATTTATTGAATTTATTATTTTTCCAACTTCATCAGTCTTTTTTGCATTACTTTTTCTATAATCTATCAATGGAAAACATGTATTTTATGGAAGTTGATTCCGGTATACAAAAGTATGTGTCTAACAAATTTGCAATTTACCTCAGAGATAAATTTAAATTTATAGTTTTAAGAGATTTATAGTGTTAAATGTGCCCTAACTGCAGAGGGAAAGTGTCCCAAGCCTGCTGTGCTTTTTTTGTTACTCTTAGTTCTTATTGCCACATACCTTCAGAAGGCCTCTGGATTTTCCAGAGTCTTTAATCCCTGGGAAAGATAGAATCCTTCAATCACCCTCTCTCCTCCTCTAAGAATGGCTATATTTATTTTTTACATTTATTTGCTTCCTATCTCGCTATGGGGCAACTTTAGGCGGCTTACAATAATAAAAAGGAAGAAAAATGAAAGGAGCGTAAACAGACTGGAAGTAAAATAATAGAACAATAAAATAAACAATGACAAAGGAACACGAGAATAATCTGAGAACTGAAAAGATGGATGGGTGGAGGGCAGAGCAAGTGGTGAAGAGATGGAGTCTGCCATCAGTCCATACCAGTAAAACTGCACCATTTTGTTCCCCAGGCCAACCGGCAGTGCCATGTCTTCAGGCTCTCAGCAGGATAAGATTAGAAATAGAATCATTTGATATTTAATAAATCTTCAACATCAGGGATCCCCAAACTCTGGGTCGCGCAAGCGGCAGGCGAGCACATGCAGCTCCATTTGTGCTCACATGGAAAGCTACATTTGCACAAATTGTGGGTGTGCGCACCCGCCGCTTGCATAAATGGAGCTGTACACATGAGCACCCATTGCTTGTGTGGAACCATCCCTCTCCTAATCACCAGTCCGCAAAGCTGGAAAGGTTGGAAACCTCTATTCTATACAGTAATTAAATTATTGCATTCTTTTAAATATAAAAAATGGAATTGAATAAATTTAATAATAACCTCTAACATTTTTCTGCTGTGGGATTTTTGATAGGAAAAAAAGAAAAGGCTATGAAGGTGATGAATTCATCTCGAAAAAATCTAGAATGGAGGAGGTTAGTAGTAGGTTTTATATCACCAGATTAAATTTGTATTTAAACTGTATTATTATATCAAAACCACATTATTTTTAGATGGCACCTGTATCATGTCAAGAATCACTTTTTCTTATACCAGTTTTTTTAAAAACTAAAGTAATGCACTATTTTGCTCCTCTTATCAATTTTTATTGGTTTCTTTAGTTCATAAGAAATGAAGCAAAGATTGAATTTATAAATGTTAGGGATCATTCACTAAAATTTCCACCTGACACCTCAGAGCACTGTAATATATGCCACCATATTTTTTATTTTTTAATCTACTTTTTAGTTTGAGTTGTGGTTTTAGTGACTTTATTGTACACTGCTCAAAAAAATAAAGGGAACACAAAAATAAGACATCCTAGATCTGAATGAATGAAATATTCTTATTAAATACTTTGTTCATTACAAAGTTGAATGTCCTGACAACAAAATCACACAAAAATTATCAATGGAAATCAAATTTAGCAACCCATGGAGGTCTGGATTTGGAGTTACACTCAAAGTGGAAAAAAACACTAAAGGCTGATCCAACTTTGATGTAATGTCCTTAAAACAAGTCAAAATGAGGCTCAGTAGTGTGTGTGGCCTCCATGTGCCTGTATGACCTCCCTACAATGCCTGGGCATGCTCCTGATGAGGTGGCGGATGGTCTCTTGAGGGATCTCCCACACCTGGACTAAAGCACCCCCCAACTCCTGGGCAGTCTGTGGTGCAACGTAGCTTTGGTGGATGGAGTGAGACATGATCTCCCAGATGTGCTCAATTGAATTCAGGTCTGGGGAACGGGCAGGCCAGTCCATAGCATCAATGTCTTCGTCTTGCAGGAACTGCTGACACACTCCAACCACATGAGGTCTAGCATAGTCTTGCATTAGGAGGAACCCAGGGCCAACTGCACCAGCATATGGTCTCACAAGGGGTCTGAAGATCTCATCTTGCTACCTAATGACAGTCAGGCTACCTCTGGTGAGCACATGGAGGGCTGTGCGGCCCCCTAAAGAAATGCCACCCCACACCATTACTGACCCACTGCCAAACCGGTCGTGCTGGAGGATGTTGCAGGCAGCAGAATGTTCTCCACAGCATCATCAGACCCTGTCACGTCTGTCACATGTGCTCAGTGTGAACCTGCTTTCCTCTGTGAAGAGCATAGGGCCCAGTGGCGAATTTGCCAATCTTGGTGTTCTCTGGCAAATGCCAAACGTCCTGCACGGTGTTGGGCTGTAAGCACAACCCCCACCTGCAGACGTTGGGCCCTCATACCACCTTCATGGAGTCTGTTTCTGACTGTTTGAGGAGCCACATGCACATTTGTGGCCTGCTGGAGGTCATTTTGCAGGGCTCTGGCAGTGCTTCTTCTGTCCCTCCTTGCACAAAGGCGGAGGTAGCGGTCCTGATGCTGGGTTGTTGCTCTCCTACGGCCTCCTCCACGTCTCCTGATGTCCTGACCTGTCTCCTGGTAGCGCCTCCATGTTCTGGACACTACGCTGACACACACAGCAAACCTTCTTGCCACAGCTCGCATTGATGTGCCATCCTGGATGCGCTGCACTACCTGAGCTACTTGTGTGGGTTGTAGACTCCATCTCATGCTACCACTAGAGTGAAAGCACCGCCAGCATTCAAAAGTGACCAAACCATCAGCCAGAAAGCATAGGAACTGAGAAGTGGTCTGTGGTCACCACCTGCAGAACCACTCCTTTATTGGGGATGTCTTGCTAACTGCCTATGCTTTCCACCTGTTGTCTATTCCATTTGCACAACATGTGAAATTGATTGTCAATCAGTGTTGCTACCTAAGTGGACACTTTGATTTCACAGAAGTGTGATTAACTTGGAATTACATTGTGTTGTTTAAGTGTTCCCTTTATTTTTTTTGAGCAGTGTATTTTGTTTATCACGTGTGTCATCCAGAGTTACTACAATAGATGGGTGGCTAGTATACAAATGTGATAAAGAAGTAAAACATAAATTATCATGGAATCAAAGGAGCAGGACCAGTTCCCAGATACCTTGCACAGCAGCTTATGGGACTATAGATATTAAGAAATTTATACCTTATTTTACTCAATAAACCAGCACTATTGATAACTAAATATTACCAAATTCTTAAAATAATTCTGCCTTATTTACAAAATTTAAAAGTATTAGGAATATGTGGACAATTAAAATTAGCACTGTAATTGTTAACCAGTTTACATTTGCATGTTACACGACTAAATGATTTTAACATTGAATATAACACTAAATTAGAATATTTAAGGGAAAAACCTAGTTCATATTTGTACCACCTTGTCAAACTTTGTGAAAGAAATATTAAATTAAATTTTAAGTACAATAACAAGGTCAAAATTAGAATCTGATACTGTATTATATTTGAAATTGCAAAAATTAGTGAAGTATATATTTTACTTTTGGTTTTGAAATAAATGGAACATTAAATGCAAAACATGTTGGAAGAACATGGGCTAAAGATAATAATGGTTTAAACTAAGCAATCAGAATTTATTCCTAATATACTACATATAATTTTAGAAGATGAAATTACCTTTCATTGAATTAAATCTTTGTACCATTCACGCTAATCTTTCTGACTCAGGTGAAAATCTTTTCATGTCCTGTTTCAGTTGGACATCTGGATATGCTAGAACCAAATTTATGTGTACTGAGATTCATCCATATTTTTTCTTACAGTATTGAAGTTGTTCAGTAATAGTTGTAACTTATTTGTTCAGTAATAGTTGTAACTTATTTGAAAATGCTGATGATAGGCTTGTCATATTTGCTTTATATGAATAAAATTTGCCTTTTGATATTAAAAACATCTGTTACATAATCAGGATTGTTGATAAATTAAGAGGAGTGTTTTTCAAAGCTTGTGTAGTTAACTCACTCTAACAGGATACTTATTGTGACCAATCTTTATGCAGGAAAAAAATCAATTTAGGAATAAGTTGGGAGTTTTAATCTTTTGTAATATGTGGTTAATTTCATTTTGTTCTACTTAGGATGAATGGACAGATGATGAGTTCATGGACTAATATATCTACATTCCTAATAGAAAATAAAATCTGAATTAATATTCATTGGAAATAAACCCAGGCAGCATGTTGTACAACTTATCATACATCAGAAAATTATATATTTATAATAAAAATTTTTTTACAAAGTGACTGGAATACTTGAACTTGCTTAAGTGGCATTAATATGACTTCACAATGAACAAGGCTTGTCACTGCTTCTTTTCATTGAGAATTGGCCATCAACCAACTGTAATAACTATGTCCAGAGAAGATATGAACATAGCTACATTCAAAGGGCCTGTACAAATACCTTATAGCTCCATAATTGTCTTCAGGTAGCACTAATCATGAAATAATCTCAGGATGATGCCATGCAGTGAATTTGAAATTCTTACTATATTTAAATTTTATTTTTTTACAAAGATATAAACCTAATTAATTGCTCTCAGAAAGTCTGATATACAAGACTCTAAAAGCTACTTAATTATTCTAGTACAATATTTGCTTCAGCAGAAAATATCAGCTATGTTTAGCAAAACCTTTCTCTAACATCCCAGGCAAATATTTTTGTGTTCCAAGGGCTGCAAGTTAAATCTCCTGCTTATTGTGTATACTTTGGAAACAGCTATGGGAATGTTTCACAATATGTGAATGCTGAATTCTTTATAAAGCATGCATGGAGTTGCTGATTTAGAGAATCAAGTTTAATCTCCAAATGAAAAGTTTGCATTGACCTAGTAGTAAAGTCAGCAAGTTGTATTTAATGCTAAGTATGTAACTGGGGAATAGAAGAATTTAAATATAAAGCAGATATACATACATATACATATATATATATACACACACGCACACACACACATATATGTATATATATATATATATATATATATATATATATGTATATATATATATGTGTGTGTGTGTGTGTGTGTGTGTGTGTGTGTTTGTATACATATATGTATGGCATTCAGCTTTGTTCGGGTATTTTCCCACATCATTGTAGTTGTGCTTTTAAAGTTGTAGCAACGTTTCGGCAGAATCTCATCTGCCATCATCAGGCTTCTGTATAGTGTTCATCTGTGAGTCAGACTTTTAGAGTGGTTTCAGATTTAAATTTGGGGCAGCCTATTGCTGTGCCAGAATGGTTTTTTCTTCACCCTGATTGGTTGGGAGTCTTGGTCTGTGTTTATTGGTCTTGGAGTTTGCTGTGTTCTGCTTGATTGGTGTTTCTAATATCTTCTATCTGTTTTTTGGCTCTTTTTGTATCTTGATTGGCTGGCAACATTGTGTTACTTTATTGGAGGCCTTTAGTGCAGCTTGGCTCCGGGTAAATGGACGGCTATCATTAGTTAGGAAGCTAGGTTTCATCTGGGTGCCTGGTTGGGGTGTGTTTGAGCTGGAGGTATCAGGAGGGATCTGTCTGTGCCCAGGTGTTTGCCTGGCTTGTGGTGTGGAGATCTTTTTGTTTGTGAGTGCAGGCTTCCAAATGATTGACAGTCTGGTGGAATCATCTCTTCTCTTCATGCTTTCTGGTCTTTTTTCAATCTCTATGGCTTCTCTGATGATGCTGTGGCTGGGGTTTTCTATAGTGGCTAGGGTTTTGGTGCTGTTGAACTTGATGCTATGACCTGTGGCTTCCATGTGTTGGACTAGTGAGGAAGTGTGTTCCAGCTTTTTTACTGCATTTTTGTGTTCATCCAGGCGGGTACTTATTCTTCTATTGGTCTGTCCAATGTATGTGGCCGGGCATGATGCACAGGGGACTTTGTACATGCCTTGGTTTTCCAGGTCAATTTTATCTTTGGGGTTTCTAAGGATGGCTGCTATTTCTCTGTCTGTTTTGAAGGCAGTCTTGATGTGATGTCTGTGTAGTATCTTACTAATTTTGTCTGTAGTACCTCTTATGTAGGGCAGGACAGCTGTTCCATAGGTCTGTTCATCTTCTGGGTCTCTATTATGTCTCAGTGTGTTTTTGTGGATCAAGCTGGTGATTTTGCTTTTGTGGAAGCCGTTGGCTGTCAGTACTTTAGTCCCAGGGTGCATAGTTCAGTCCTAATGTGTGTCTTGTCTGCCAGGCGTTTGGTTCTGGTAATTAGTGTTTTAGCCACGGAGTTTATCTGTGCTGGGTGGTGGTGGGATTGGGTGTTGAGGTAGCGGTTAGTGTGTGTTTTCTTCTGGTATACGGTGTGTCCTAGTGTGCCATCTGTTTTTTTGTAGATTAGTACATCTAGGAATGGTAGTTTGTTTGTTTCTGTTTCCATGACTTTGTGCCAGTGAACTTGATTTTGGGGTGTGTGCTGTTTAGGTGTGTTAGGAAATTGTTTAGGTTTTCTTTTCCATGGGGCCAAATAACTAGTGTCATCAATGTATCTTAACCATAGTTTGGGTTTGTGGGTGGCATTGGCTAGGGCTCTGGATTCAAATTCTTCCATGAACAGGTTTGCAATGATGGGTGACAGTGGTGATCCCATAGGGGCTCCTTTGATTTGCTTTTATCTTTGTCCTTTGAAATATGTGTTGATTAAGCAGTGTTCTGTTAGTTCCATGAGGTGTTTGGGTGGTTGGTATTTAGTTTTGATGATTTTGAGAGTTTTATCGGGACTTGAGTGAATAGTGACATGGGAAAATACCCGAACAAAGCTGAATTACATACATACATACATACATGTTTTTGTAATTTTCACGGGTACAGGTATGTAGGTCTAGGTGTGTTTGGGTCTTTTCCCGTGTAAGATTAAGAGTATCTTGGTGACGTTTCGGCGAGGTCCCACTTGCCATCCTCAGGCTGGTGCTTTCGACTTTGTGCCAGTGCAAGCAGATTGCACTGCTTGCACTGGCACGAAACCAAAAGCACCAGCCTGAGGATGGCAAGTGGAACCTCGCCGAAACGTCGCCAACTCTTAATCTTACACAGGAAAAGACCTGAACACACCTAGACCTACATACACACACACACACACACATATTGTCTAGGTTTGATCTGGCCATTTTAGCTTAGTGAAGGAGCATGAGAAATGTTTTAATTAAAAATGATACCCCAATTAGAAATATTGCTGTAATTATCCTATTTACTTCCATTAATGATTGGAGATATATTTAAAGGAACACATAAGTATTAGCTGTACAAAGTATTCTGAGCTGATATTTAATGTCTTATAACCCACTGAACTTTTAATAGTTTAGAATCACTTTAGATTTCTCAATCCAAGGTTTCCCAACATTTGCGAGCTAGTGGAAATATTTTGAGATTTTAAGAGTATGGTCACACTTACAAAATCTACCCCATCCCACTGATCACTTCAGCTTGCTTGGTTTTTCTGGGAAGGTGACAAGTTTTCAAATAAATCATTCAGGGTGTATCATATCCCCTCATGTTTTTTAAAAGAATGCCTCCCATATATATGCAAAGCTCAGAAAAATAGGTATGTGGGAGAAGAATGCTGCTCCAGGATGCCACTTTACAGATAGCTTTAATTAAATGAAATAGGCATACCTGTTTGGGGAAGTCCTAATCAACTTAAGTGCACATCTGTTTTTTTTTGCACAAAAACATCTAAGCTTTTTCAAAAGGCAGGTGAACTGCCTTCTGAAGCAGGTAAGATTTTTATCAGTCTAAGGCTTGCTGTCCTAGCACTGGCCATTATGGAGATCTTGTACTTTCTATTTTTTCCTGTTCATGTATTGTCTAAAGATAGGAGGTAGTTTAGGTTGCAAGATGGCTTAAATGTATAGACAGAAAAGGTAACACATATATACTTGGGAAAGAAATATTCACTCCCCTCATGAATATTTTTGTTCATTTACAGTCTAAACATGAAGTCAAAGATTTTCACAATTGTTTTAAGAACTATTTTGAAATGAATTACATTAAACTTCCTCTGCTTCAGCCCTCTGGAACTATCCTTCGTGTTTTTCTGCTTTATTTGTAACTTGATTTGCAGGAAGAGCAGAGACTTCAAAATTCAGTAATGCAGTGGATTGTGGTATATTTTTTGAGCCAACAATGGCAGCATAGTTGTAGATGACTTTAAAGTGGCCACCATCTAGTCAACCTTAGCGTTTATGATATGAATGAATCTAACTCCAAGTCACAGGAGAATACTTTCCATCACGATTTTCTTTCAGTAATGGTGTTTTAGCAGCTTCGTTCAGAAAAGTCCTTGTTTAGCCTTCTCTTACTCTTCTATAAAGGACTAATTAATGGCAATACATGGATTACTATCCCTAAGTGGGATTTTTTTCAGTCAGCACTTATGAATATACAAACATATATCGCTAAATTCTGAATTATTAGACAAAAAAATTGAATGTATGCTATAAAACTGTTTAATGAATGCATGCGTGCCTGATACAATAACAAATTTACTGAATTCAAATTTACTGTTGTAAACATTTTACAAAAAGCATTGCAATTTATCTGGATACAGTCATTGGTGAAAAAATTACTCAAAATGATAAATGGCACATAAAAAAAATAAAGGTGACAAAACCCAGTCTGCATCTTCTTTCAGCACAACTCTGAACAAACAAAATAGAATGGTATAAAAGTGTACAGCAAAGATTTCCTTTCAAATTCTGGAAGCTGTAAATATAAAGTGGCTGAACAATTGTAATGTGATTACAGTAACCAGGTGATTTACAGTAAAAGGTGTTCATCCAGTTATACTTTGCTGTTGAAACAATTTATTGGCAGGTGTCTGTGTTTTCTGAAAGACCGCTTTGGCAATTGGAGGTTTGAAATAACATTAAAGTTCAAAGAGACAGTCACAGCATTTACTTCGTGGAAGGTGATTTGTACACCAAGGCTCAGAGGTCCTGAAAATTGGTTCCAAAAGTGCAAGTGTCCTGCACAGATAGCTTAAAGCTGCTGGTACAGTCAGTCACCAACAGATCTGTTGTTTTTTTGCATAGTTCACACATCACTGGAAACGTGAAACGTGTGCTATTTTTGGCAAGAGCAAGAAGTGATATTGGTGAAAGTTGTCATGTTGGTCATGCTAGCTCATGCAGAAAGCTGCTACCTAATGTTGTTAGGCACTGAATACCGATTCTGTTTTTGTTGAAGGAGTTCTGTAATTGCCAGCAACTTCTTCAGTACATGCTGTTGAAAAAAAAGTAAATTTGTTAAATTATCCATGGTCTTTCTGGAAGTTTTAAAGGCTGAAAGAAGTGATTTATTTATTTAAATATCTTTAGAATACTTTTAGATTTTGAGTAAGGAAAAGACAATCTAAAAGTTTTCTAGCTTGAATATGTACATCAAAATAACTTTCCTGCAGCTTTAACATTTAAAGAAAGCAAGTGATTATATACAATGAATATAAAAAATGTAATGTCTTACAACATCACTTTGTAATCATGGACATAACTTCAAATATGCATTGTATTTGAACCATAGACAAAATCAAGACAGTCATGCTAAAAGGTTCATTCATTTCACAGAAGGGAGTTGTATTTGATGATACTTTGCTAATTCCACCATCTGTAGTCTTTAAGTGCCATCTTTTGAAGCTGCTTAAGAGTCTCCAAAGCCAGAGCAGACTTTCAGAGGGCAGCAGAAAAGACATTTGGTGAGTTTGCTTCCTCCCAATTTTACCCATAAAAGATTGTAGATGATGAATTCATCTTAAGTGAATAGGAATTCATTCTATTGATTACAACATGACTTTCAGTAAACTTT